ACCATCTCGAAAAAAATACTATTCTTGTATTACTTATATATTGTTAGTCGATAAAGAAGACCGCGTTCCAACTTGCATCCGATCGTTTGCTCGAGCAGAAACAGATGTAAATCGAATCACGTTTGCTCGATTTCACGATTTGGAAATAACAGAATTTTTCGTCGATGTTACATCACTGTCCTCCTTAGATCGAAATATCTTAACTAACTAATTTGCGAGAAAGAAACTAAAGTCTCTGGATCAACGAATTAATGAATTAACATTTTACGTGAACAACGTAACAACGTTCATATTTTATTAATATCGTAATATCTCGCGTAATAAATCGATAGAAAGTGTCTTCTCCTTCCAAGTAACAAATAATATTTGCAAAGATAATTTAACGAATCCTGTGAACGAAACTTTAAACTAATAATTATTTGAAAAATGAAAGAAAGAAAAGGAAAACGAACTAAAGAGGGCAGTACAGTTCGACCAAACTTGTCCAAAGTGAAAAAGTTGCGAGTTGGAACACGGCCCGACAGATGATGAGTGTTGTTGCGTGAGAGTCGATGCGTGAATGTCTCTCGTTAGCGGCCATTGTGACGAGGACTTGCGACTTGCTAAACGGATCACAAGATTCGAGATTACGTTGTTCGAAATCCTCTTTTTTTTTTTTTTCTTTTATTCTCTTTTTCGTCTTCGTATTTCCTTTCTTCGCTCGTCGCGCATGCGCATAACGTGGTTACAATTCAACTGCGCTCCACCACGCTCCCGTCGATAATACCAGCATACGGCCTGTTTAACCATACGTGTATTATTTATTATCGCATAAGAGGGAAGTTTCGCGAGTAGAAATATTTTCGAGCGAGAAGAACACGAGAGGCGGGCAGAGATTTTGCCATTCATCTCGGATAGATGGATGAATGAATGAAGCTAGATGGAGTATAATAATAATAATAATAATTATAATAATGAATTTTCAGGGTACAGGAGTAAAACACGTGACTTTTAAATAAGGCGACGCACGATAAATATGTCGCGATTTATTCGATTTCTATGAGCCACGATTATTGCAGGGGTTTTACGATTTTTACCGACCGTTTTTTTTTTTTTTTCTCCTTTTATTTTAATTTTAAGAATCACGAGAATGTGTACATAGACACGTCAAGTAATCAATTATTGTTATTATTCTTTCTACTTTTTTATATATATATATATTTTCAATTTTAATATTTTTAGCGTGTAAGCGTAATTTAAAGGGATAAATTTTCTTTCTTTTTTTTTCTTTTCCCTTAATTATTTCAGTTTTATAAAATATTTTTGTACGTCTTCGCGTTGAGATCTTGGAAAAAATATAATAATAATAATAATAATAATAATAATAATAATAGTAGTAATAACAATAACAATAACAATAATAATCGTATCTTTGTTTAAGAATTAATTAAGCATTGCGTGAAAATATATATTGGAATTTTTTGAAAAAAAAATTTCCCACGATACGACGAGATGAAAAAAGATGTTTTTCTTTTCTCGAGATAAATAATTGGTTGTGCCTTCGATGGATTTGAATAAAAGAAAAATAATATCGAGTTGTATTTTTTTTACAAATTTATTTATATCGATGTAAGGAGGAAGATCGAAAAGGAAGAGGAAAAAGAAAAAATTGTTCTAATCGGGAAACGAACCGAGATATATCGCAGTTTTCACAATAAAAAAAAAAAAAAAAACGAAAAATAGAGAAATCAACAAGGGTTTACCTTCCATAGAAATTGTTGCAGCTTTATGTAAACGGAGTGACGCAGCGTCCTGGAATTTCTGTGAGTAATTTTTCTTTAGAATTTAAAAATAAGAATATTTTAACGAGCCTCGACAAGTTTGGGGATTAAAATAATTTCTTATTGAAAGTAATTTTAATCCAATTTTATTTCCAATATTTTTGATATAAATTTCGCCAAATCAGCACACGATCGAATCAAAGAGAAACCCGATTTTTTTCAATGACAACAACCTTGAACTCGAAGGTAATAGTATCACGTGTACGGTGCAAGGTTTCTTTGCTAAGGATTATTATTCTGCGTCGAAATATAGATAAATAACGATTCGTACGAACGAGAATATACGTGACAATACGAATCTAATATTTTCATGCTTCGACTAACAACAATTATATTTACAAGCGTTCTGGATTTTGAGAATTTCCAAGAATTTCGAGAAATAAGAAAAAAATACGATAACATCTGTTTTCATTCAACCAACCATACTCGTAAAATTCAAATTTTTCTCAAATCAAATTTCGACTAAAACAGTGGACCATTCCAAATCCTTTCCAAAATTAAATATTCTCTTTTCTCATCGTCGAAAAGAATTTTTCAAGAGCTGGCAAATTTCAAATTCAACTTTTCTTAAATCCAAGAATTAAAATTCGAGCACCCAAAACAGGGCCATTTCAAATCCTATTTCCTATCTTTTTCATCGTCGAAAAGAATTTTTCAAGATAAGGCAAATTCAATTTTTCTCAAAGAATCCAAGAATCCTTTTTTCTCATCTCTGAAAAGAATTTCAAGACCAAACTTCAAATTAAATTTTCTAAAAAAATAACTCACTCCCTCTTGCTCGCCAAAATCGGCAAAAATGAAAAAGAGTTGGATTTGAAATATCGCGTGGAAAAGCGAGCGGATTTAAATCGACTGGCCGAACGCGAGCGCGAAGAGTGGTTCGGGATAACGGTCGGTTGCGGCAACTTCTTAATAAGTGCGTTCACCTTGGCCGAACGAGCGCCCGGATTAATGCCACTGGTGGGGAGGGAGGGGGCGGAGAGAGAGAGAGAGAGAGAGAGAGAGAGAGAGAGAGAGAGAGAGA